AATTGTTAAAAAAAAAAAACAACAAAAACAGTGTGATAAGAGAAAGGTTACCTTCCCCCAAACTGTAGCGTATTCGTACATCCCAGGCATACATTGTTTCCTTGTTCTCAAATCCCAGCATCACAACTTGGGAGAGACAGATGATTGCGAGGGTGTGATTCAGGCCCTCGTAGGAGAGCCCAGGATCCAAGCCACAGATGTCTTCTAAGGTCATGCTGCTCCTCTCCTTATGCCCTTTTGCTCGTTCAGATTTATCCTTGTACACCAGCATGAGCAAACAGTCTAAAAGGAGCAAAACTGTCAGAGATGATGATGCAGAGCACAGACCATAACAAATTTCTCAGCACTCTGCTGCAATACAAAGCAGCTTTAGACAACTGCAGGATCAGCTCGACCAAGTCAATGTAAAACTCCGACTTCTTCTCCCAGCCCACCCCCAGGTAGTTTGTAGTCCTTGTTTTCAGGAAACAAACACTGAAGGCATGTTTCAAGGGTAATCTGCAGCCTCAGAAATAAGGAGGCCAGTAATAAATCTTCCCTATTTTACTCAAAGCCCAGAGGCATTTCAGATCCTCTCCTGAGTCTGGCAGGGACTGACTCATTAATTCTGAGCATTAGGAACTGTGCTAGGATAGCTGTTCACATTACAGACCGAGAGGCTATTGTTGTCTGTATTTTCATTAGAACATACTGAACCACACATGAAAATCTCACAGCAGCTCACAGATTACCCAGCCACTAAATGGCAAGCAGAGTGCACTGCGAGACTGTTCCTGCCGGCTCAGGTTTCCCAGTTAAATACTACCCAGCAGCCACTGCTAAAAACCATTATGTGCCACACCTTCTTTTATTTATTTATTTTTTCATGTTTGCTTGTGTCACCAGTTGTTATAATCCCTTCCCAGAGGTGTTTATTGCACAGCAAGTATGCAATGGAAGAAACCAGTTCAAGTGCCATGGCCCCATGGGGAAAGCAAGCATTTCACAAGTATACCCAAAAGAAAAGGGGAGAAACCTCTCCCACTTTTTGTATTTATGACAAAAGCAGGCCTCTTTCCCCCATGTTCATTTCTTATCACACAGCACTCAGACAAAGATTAAATTAATGGTCAATATCAAAGCTGCAACATCCACATCTTGAGCTGAGCTACAAACCACAAAAGACAAAGACCCCCATGCACCAGTTTATAAATACTGGGGATGGTGATCCCAGCCCCACTGAGGTGCCCTGCAGCTCTCAGCTGGGCAAGAGACTGGCAAAATCTCCATCCAGAGATGAAAAATGACTGAACTGTCTGCTAACTAATGCAAAGCTTTGCATGGATGCCCAATTGTCTTTGTGCACCTGTTAACAAAAACAGCTGCAACCACGGTATTTGAACATTCTGCAATACAGTTACGTGTCTAAAGAACGACTATGGTTTACATACCAAGGAAAGCAAATCACCAGGGACTTTTTAAGTAAACCTGGCTAATTTAGCTAGAATAAAAATAGTACTTTTGAGGAATAAGCTACATTGTCAGTCAGGCTCCACCATCTACCCCCTTCAAAGCTGGCTTACATCAGAAACTCAGGCCCATATTCACAGATCTATATACTAGCTCTACGACCAACAGATGCCCTTTTACACAGGGAGGTTTCACAGATTTAGATGAGATCCAGGTATTTTAAACACTAAACTATAACTATAACAACTCAGGTAACAAAGAATTACTAAGAAGCCTTCTGTCTTTCTTGCAAGATCCAAGAAAGGCTGCCATAATCCATTCTGCAGCAATGTGGATTCACATATTCTAAGTGTAGGCAACATTTAGCCCTGGAAAGATATACTTTTGGGCCCAAATGTTTTCCCTGTTGGGAACAGATGGGGAAACCTGAAGCCTACTTTTCCCTCTGCAGCAGTAAAACATCAGCTCTGTGTAACATTTTCAATTTCCCCTTCAGAAGCATGGAAACGATCTTATTTTTTTTTTTTTCTTCCTTAATTCAAAATGTCATTTTATTTTTAAATTGAAGTGATATTTTCTGTCAAAACACTGATCAAAAATAACTACTGAGCTTACAATGTCAGCTTTTTTTTTTCTTTTTTACAGCCAGCAATCACCCTGAAGAAATAAGCTCCCCCTCCAAGAAAAAATTTTAAAAAAATATTAGAAGAAAAAGAAAGAAGAAAAAAAAAAAAAGGTGCATTTTGAAGGGGCACCAAACCCAATGGCTGCTCCTGGGAAAGTCACTTTTCCCGTTGTTTTCAGTGAGAGCAGGAGCTCGCCCCGAGGCGGGACGCGGCTCCCGGGCAGCGCAGCTCTGGGGTGGCCCCGCCGAGGGCTCTGCTCGCCCCGGGGAGCCGGGCAAGCTCCGGGACCCCGAGCCCCATCCCCACCTCCGGGCCCGCCTTACCTGCCACCGGGGAGGGCTTGCGCAGCACCAGCCACCTGCTCTTCCACTGCAACGAGAGGCAAAGGGACAGGGTTAGCCGGGGCCGGGAGGGGAGAGCGGGCTCTCTCCCCTCAGGACAAGGGGGCGGCGGTCGGGGACCCCCGCGGGCCGAAGGGGCGCCGGGAGCGGGGACCTTTTTTCCGTCTCTCAACTTGACGTGAC